CCAGCATCAACAGCACCAGCAGCAGCAGCAGCCGCAGCAGCGCCACCAGCAGCAGCAGCCGCAGCAGCACCAGCATCTGCAAAATTTGCAGCAGCAGCAGCAGCAGCAGCAGCAGCAGCAGCAGCAGCAGCAGCAGCGCCAGCACCAGCACCAGCAGCACCAGCAGCGCCAGTAGCGCCAGCACCAGCAGCAGCACCAGCAGCACCAGCATCAGCAAAAGTTGCAGCAGCAGCAGCAGCAGCAGCAGCAGCAGCAGCAGCAGCAGCAGCAGCAGCAGCAGCAGCAGCAGCAGCAGCAGACCTCGAGGAAGGCTTTGAAGTCTTGGAGGTACTTTTCAATGTCCTCGGAGTCCCAGAAAAGCGGATGGTGAAGAGCCTGGGCAATAGTGAGTCGCTGTTCAGGTTTGTGCTGCAGCAGCCCGCCTAGGAGGTCGGAAAGCCACGGGCAATCCGCGAGCTGAGAAGGCCAAAATACCATTTTTTTGAATCAAATTTAATTCCCTTTTAACTCTAATTGAATTTTTCTTTTAATTTGAGAAACAAACGCGAAAAAAGCAGCAAAAATGACCCAAAATCCACCAAGTTTCCACTTTTGCAAAAATGCTTCAAGTGCAAACTACTCAAGCCTTTCAACACTTTTCAACTTTTTGCTGCAGCACAGTTCATTTTATCTTTTAAATGCACTTATGTATAATAAATGCATTTAAATATACAAAATGTGAACAAAGCCAACATAATTGCAAGTATTCAGCAGCAGCACTTTGCAGGTTTTTCCATTTTTCTCTTTTCTTTCTTTTTATTGAACCAATTCTCTCAGTTTTGCAGCAGCATCTTGTTTTCCATTTGAGTTTTAAAATAGTCCACTATTCAGCAGCCAAAGAGGGAAAGTTGCTGCTGCTTTCTTGTCTGTCGGCTGCTCTTTTTGCTGCTGCTGCTGCTGCTGCTTGCTGCAGCTGGGATCTTTTGCTTCTCCAAACCCTCACCTTGTCGAAGTTGACTTTTTTGTCCGCCAAAATGTTCGAAAGGATCATAGGGTCGTTGGGGCTTCCGTAGGGGTGGAATCCCCCGGAGGCGAAGAAGAACAAAGTGGCGCCTGCAGCAGCAGCAGCAACAGCAGCAGCAGCAGCGGGAAGGAAAGAGAAGCTGATCGGCAGCTGGGAAGGCAGGCTTGTGACCCCTCATTGGGTTTGTTTTGAGCTGATTAGTTGAAAGGAATTATCAAAAAGCAATTTAACTTTGATTTAAAGGAAAAAAAGAAAAAGAAACTCCGCCACTTGCCCGTAGACCACGCGTCCGCCCGCCGCAGAAACTCCCCCGGCCACTTGTATCTGCTCGCAAGTGCACTGAAGACTTCTTTGCTTCTCTTCTCATCTTTCGAGCTGCTGCAGCGCCAAATTGCCTGCGAGAGTTCTTCGTCTAAGTCCAGCAAAGACCCCAGGAACTCCGGCGCCATCCAGCACGTTTCCTGCGGCGTGCCCAGGATCTGAACGCCCCGCAGCAGCAGCAGCAGCAGCAGCAGCAGCAGCTCGGCTGTGAGGGGCGCAGCAGAGCTGTTTGGATGCTCTTTAGGAAAAGATGCAAAGCAGCGGCTGAGCAGTGAAGGCACTTGCTGCCAGCAAAGCAGCATGCAGTTCCAAGAGTTTCAAAAGCAGCAGCAGCAGCAGCAGCAGCTGCAGCAGCTGCAGCAGCTGCAGCAGCACAGTTCTGGGGACCCGTGCCCGTTATCTTGGGACTCCCCTGCTGCTGGCTAGAAGCGAAAAGCAGCAGCATTTGCAGAAGCAGCTTTCGCCTCAACAAACCACCGCTGCCGCGCTGCAGCACCCCACTTCAGGGCTTAGGGTTTAGGGTTTAGGGTTTAGGGTTTGGGCCTACCCACTGCAGCAACGCCTTCGCATTCGAGGCCCCCTGCATCCCCGCAGTCAACAAATGCAAAATGCTCAAGTACCGAATCTTCCCCCCGCAGTCTCCCAATTTTATTTTTCCACTTTCACTCAACATCACATTCCCCGGATGAATCCTCATGTGGCACCTCTCCGCGCCAGGAGGCCCCCCCGCGGGGGCCCCCGGGGGCCCCTGGTGAAGCACATGGACTGCCCGCAAGAGGCAGTGGAGAAGACCATTGAGGCCCGTTGAAGGGAAAAGGGAATGGAGGAAAGAGGGGGGGAGGGGCCCCCTTGGGAAGTGGGTCAAGAGGGGCCCCCTGCATCTTTCTAAAACCAGCCACAAAGAAGTACCCTCTTGGGGGGGGCCCGGCAGCAGCAGCGCGCGCCTGCAGCAAACCAGGTGGGGGTCCTGCAGCAGCAGCAGCAGCTCCACCTCCTGCCACAGCTCAGCAGCACGAGCAGCAACAACTACTGGCAGCTGCTTCACTGCAACACTCTCGGGGGGCCCCCGGGGGCCCCCG